CTGATCTCCTCCATGGGTTAAAGGAATTTGTGTCCGACATCCAGCCAGGAAAGCAGAGTCAACCTTGACAAAAACACCTTAACTCTTGTCCCCTTTGTGATGTGGGGGATTGTGCTGCGTGATATGTATGGATTCTCTGTTAAAGACTTTAATGGAGTTTGATATCATTCTGGCCATGACTTAAATCCTTTCGCGGTGATTGAATGCATTCGCACTGCGAGGCAAGACGAGTATGAAACACAGAGATTAAGGTCTAAGGTTTCTCTTTAATCAACCATTTTTAGCCTCACCATTACCGTCTCGCCTCTTGGGGATGCAGATAAAAGGTACTGTCTGTGGAAAGAGGATGACAACCAATAAAGAAACACAAAAGGGGAGTAAGAACAAAAACTGCTAATTTCCAAATAAGACAAAGCTATTTTAGTTAACAGTGCTGCCCACTGTTATCCGTCCCTTAATTGTCACTTCAAAACACTATTTAGAGGAAACAATCCTTCAGTTGACAGGACTAACTGGAGCAGGTGGAACAGAAGAGATCAAGTAGGACAGACAGAATTTGTGTCTTGATTGCTTTGTGAAATAAATTGTTTGAATTACACAGTGTGTATGTGTGTGTGTGTGTGTGTGTGTGTGTGTGTGTGTGTGTGTGTGTGTGTGGGTGCATGACAGTGCAATGTACTGTCTTTGTTGGACACATGCTGGAATCACTGCCACATTAACCCGGCTGGACAGCTGCTCTACGTGGCAATGATTCACTACACATGTTATTATACCAACTGTCAACAGGAATTGCTGTGCTCTGTTCACAGCAGCCTCACCGTATGATCACAAATGAGTCCAACGCCGTTCACATACAATAACTTGCTTCGGATAAAACAAACCAACACAGACCACATACAGTCAAACACAGATTGAGAAAAGACATAAACTGCGAGTCTTTCAGAGGTCGCAGTCAGTGATTATGGAATATATATATATGTAACCCTCAGAAACAACAAAGTTGTCCTACGGTGGTCGTGATATGTTGAAAACAAAAAGGCTAGCTATTGTTTCAGTCTCCAACATTGTTGTAAAACTGCAGATATGTTATGTTCAGTTGGAGACAGTTGGAGTTATTGAGGAAATGTATTTCCATAAAGGCTTGCCAAAAGTTATCTTGTGAGCCACACTGTACAATAACTTAAATAGTATTTTTCATCCCCACCACACGTCTCTACATGAGATGCTCCTCTGTTGTTTGTATTTGTATCTCTAACCCTGTTAATAAATTTGAAGGCCTTGTCCTTAGTTTTAATCTGGAGTAAACATGTGGTGCAACCTGAGTAAACACTGTGTTGGCTGAGCCAGATCACTGGGTACAGGGTCTGCATGTACCTTTCCTTGTATGGGTTTTCTCATAAGTGACGACCGGCGATTTCTGTGGTAATTCTGTGATTCTTCTCATTTTCTGGTTTGTCATGTTATTAAAGTGCAATCAGACTCAAATCAAGGGGCCAAACAAAACGCTCAGGGTCACTACAACTTTTGCTATTTGTGAAAACATCAAAGGGGGAAGAGAGAGTGAGAAAGCATTTTGTGTTGAATTTCAAGTTTTCACTTCTACGTAACATGCACAATGTTTTTCAGTCGTTTTTCAGTCAGTAAATGGCTTTTCAATTCATTGTACAGTAATATTGTTTCTGGATAAGGAAACAGAATGTTGTTCTTTGTAAAACATAACTTGTTGAAGGAACACATCATTTACATCATATATGCCAGACGGGCACTTGGACAGTGCATAATCCATTCAACAATGGACAACTCACAAATCTAAGATTTGGCATCGTGAGTCCCTAATGTGGTTAAGCTTATGGCACCAAAAGCACTTTGGTTACATTTAGGGAAAGCTTGTGTATTTGGTTGCTGCTACATCTCATGGAAACACATTCATATGTTTTTTAAATGACCTGCTGATACACGTGCTAAAGTTCATGCTATTTACAGTATTTACTATGAAGACATGAAGACACTGGCTGCAGTACCAGACTCTCATACAGAAAGTCCATGGCATCTCAGGGTCGTCAACATTTTACTGCTGCTCAGCAGGTTTTTACATGCTATTGTCAAGTTTTACAGGTTTATTAGAAAACCTGAAGACGGTGCACCCGTGTGATTTATAGATGCTCTGTGCATCAGTTTAGTTGCAGTTCCCTCGCTTTCGCCTCCAGCTGTTTGAATCAAAGAAGCCAAACTTTGACCTTTAAACTTGACATAATAATCTGAATCGTTGCATCTCCACTTGTTGATATTTTCTGTTGCCTTCAAGTTTTCAGTGATTTTGTGCTCTTAGACAAACTGAAACAGAACTGTTCCTCACTCCTCTGTGCTACAACAGTGTGTCTGCTATGGGGGAGTAATTAGAGGACACAAAGGAAAGAAGGGGAATGGCAGAGAAAAGGAGAAGAGAAGAAAAAGATTTGGACACTTTCTGTGTTGTGTCAAAGATTGGATGTCAGTTGGTGACTGCAGGCAAATGGATTGTTTTTTTTGGGTCACGCGCCAACTAAAGCTAGTTGCAGCAGTTAGTTGAATGTTTCTAAGTTGTGGGGAAAATGGTACAAATATCCGATCCTGTATTGATGTGCAGACCAACATGTCATCATCCAAATACAAACTCAAGTCTTTCTTTACAGTGATGAAGAGTGACACGATTGTTTTTGCAAAATTAAGTTGAGAAAATGTCACCACAAATGCATTTTATAATCACTGAGCTCCACCGATGTCTTTCTCTGGACACTGAATTATCTGAGAGTATTCTACCTTAATGTGGTTCTGGATCATTCTAGTCCCAAATGTCATGCAAATGCAAATCTGCCCAACAGAGTACAGTGGGTGGCCCGCTGACTATTTTAATGTTAATATAGAGATCGATGCCCAAGGAACCGCTGTGTACAAAGGAACCTGTGACCTTAAAACAGACAAAAGTATAAGTTGCGGCTGGTTAGAATATATTTGGAGTTCAAAGAGCAAAAGCATTAGATCATGTATCCTAGTAGTCAAAGTCATTTTGGGGCAACAATCACTTAAACTAAAATGCATTCTCAAAAAGAACCACATCACAGAAGTTACCTTTTTGACTAAAAATTATGAGTACCAGTAAAACAGTGAGTACAGAGAACCAGATTTGGTGTGACCAGGAGCCAAATAAACCTGTCCAGGGTTCAAACATCAGCCTTGATCCTTTCTGTGTGAAGTTTACATGTTCTCCAACTCCCTGTGTGGGTTTTCTCCGGGTCATCTGTTTTTCACCCACAGTCCTCCCACATGTAAACCAGGTGAACTGTGATGATGTGTGAGCATGACTGTCTACGTGTTAGCCCGCCCCTGCAGAGGACTGATGATCTGTCCAGGACGTTCCAGTGCATTCTGGGACGGGCCGCTGCCCCAGATAAGGATCAACGCAGTTTGTTTCGCTGCCTTTTGTGTAGCGTGTTTTACAGTTGAAGACTGCTCAAGGCTTCTATTTTGAGCGTAGGAGGTTTTTTTTACAATGTTTTCAGGTTCCTTCCTCCCAACAGCTTTGTCTGATCTTTTTTTACGAGGCGTTTTTACACGCCAGCACTCTGAGTGAGAGGTCAGGTGTGACGATGAGGTAGTTATGATTAACTGGTAGACTTGGAAATGTTTTCGGAACATTTCTTGAGGTGACAGTGGATGAGTGCTGTGTTATGTTGAAAAGATTGAAACGTCTTTCGGGAACTTTAGCAGAAGAATAACATGACAGCTTATGACTTACTTCTATCATAACAAATATAACACCTTTTTAACTCCAATAACAAAAGGTCAGAAATAAATCACAAGTCATCCGATTAAACCAGCTGCAGATTTATTTATTTATTTTCTTTGGATGGATGTTCGTAATGGGAAACCTGTATGTCTGCCAGAGCATAAGAACCACCTCAATACATGCCAACGGAAGCACCCAGAGGAAGTTGACATCCTTTTTTGGTATTATAGGTAATTTAATAAGACATGACGTTTCTAATTTTAGTTTTAATATTGTGTTTGGATTATGCGAAGCGTTGACTCATACGGGCAAGTGAAGCTCACACGGGTGTCATCTGTTTGCTTTGTTATGCTAAATAGCATGGGAATTAACCTCTGTTGTTTTAGCTAAACCAGGAGTGTGCTTGTGAGCAAGGCAGAGCGCACTTCTCCAACCAGCGGAGAGAGTCAAACCGACTTCTTCAAGCATGTAACAAATGAGAGCTGTGAAATCTATTCAGAGCCAATGGCCCAGCTGAGTGAAATCCTACTGCAAATGTCTTGTCACAACATTCTGCATGACACGAGCGTCAAGCTGCCGAAGCCGATGTAATTGTAAAGGTCTTGCAATCTGCTTTATTCCCACCAACACCTTCTGCTAAGGTGCTAGTAGCGCACACAGTTGCAATAATGTGTCGACATCTGACATACGGAGCACACTCCTCCCTCCTCAAGCCCAATCCTGCCACTGCGCACCTCTCTCAGCACTCCCCTCCCTTCAGATGTCCCTGCTTTGGTCCCGATAAGCAGACTTCATCCCAAACATATTATATCTATTCAGGCGGGGGGATTAAGTGCAGATACATGACATTTAGGGCCATTCCAAGGACTTGAGTCAACGTGTAAACAACTCCTACGCTATGTCAGGGAAATATTTATCTCTCCTCATAGAACTTCTTGAGATAGTGTCAACATTGCTTAGAGGCACAATTACATTTGTGGATGGAAAACTAAGAGTTCTTCTGGAAATACAAGTGTATAATATGAGTAAAGCGGGGAATACTTGTAGAGATGCAAGACTATCATACTGATAAAAATAACAAGCAAGTTCATATTAAAGGAAAATCCTGTGTGTGATCGTGTATCATGATGCCTCTATATTTTCTTCCTAAAATCATCATCATTAAGAAAGTAAAATTGACAAAACAAAGATGAATTCAACAATCATGTGTTTTTTTTTCTGTGTTTTTTCTCAGTAACCACAACGCCATCTCCAGGCTCAGGCCACGCCAGAAGATGCAACGACACAGAGAAGGCCTACTGTGTGAATGGCGGCGACTGTTACTTCATACATGGTATAAATCAGCTCTCCTGCAAGTAAGTTACCTCCTTTTGCTTTTGTATTCGCCTCGATAACTTAACTTTCACTGTCAACCTTTCTTCCTTTGTGCCGCGGTCTTAACGAGAACTCCTTTCGTGATGTTTTTGCTCTAGTAATACTCCTAACCTCACATTTATTTTATCCTGCTGTTTATTTTCCTGATAGCACTTGATTTCCGTTCTTCTTTCTTTTCAGCAGCAGCAGCAACACATCACAGGAAAATGCTGCCAGTCTGCCTAACTACCCACCTGTTGTGTATTTTAACACTAATAATGGAGTGAGGCGGTGGTGTGCTCATCCTTTTAAGTCATGTTTAGTGTACAGGAGGGCTGCCCATGAAAAGCCTTTTTAAAATGTCATGAGTCACTGGTTTAGAGAGCAAATATTTATGCTTGTTAGAGGCCCCCAGTGAGGTAAATAGAATCATTGCTTACATTTGAGGTCCTTGGCAGAAGGGATCAAGACCCGTGTGTAAAGTGCACTGAAGCAACCTTGTATCTCTGCTTTTCAGGAAATAACAGGTTGACATCATCACTTTTTTTAACTTTGAGATTTACATTTCAGTTTGGATTAGACTCGAGGTGAAGAGACATTATTTGGCACAATCTTCAGGAGGAGTTTAAAATCAACAGTTTTCCTTCTGTTTTTCAAAAAAAACAGATTTTTAGAGTAAAGTGTGTCGCAATGCGTTGATTCAATCAGTATTTATCTCTTAGAAATTTTGATAATCAATCTATCATTTAAGTCAGTTTTAAAACAAAAGTTCCAAACAAAGTTCCAAACAAAACCCCTGTTTTCCTTAGTCTTCCATCATATTACACTTAATATCTTTGCGTTTTGGACTATAGGTGGAACAAAACAATCTATTTGAATATGTCAACTTGTGCTTTTGGTAATTGTGATTGACATTCTTAGATATTTTATGACATTTTACAGACCAAAAGATATCACTTAGTTCAGACAATAATTGTCAGATGAACTTATAACACAAAATATGCACATTATCTCTTGTCATGGTCGTCATAGATTCCGTTGCTCGTTCTGTTCCACCATATGTCATGATAGCATAGGTCCTCTGGCTGGTTTGATATAGAACTGAAACACTGGCGAGGCTTCTGTGCCCAGTTGGCCCAAGGAAGAATGCTCGACAAGCAATGAGGACAATGGCTGTAACAGCCGTTCAATACGCTGTGTACAAATTGGAGGCAGCAATAACTCAATTGCTGCAGCTAATTCACTCATGGCCGGGGCATGGGTCCAGAAAAGTTGGATAATGCAGTGAAGGCCTGCAGGGATTTGTTGCCCCAAAGCCATCTCATTCAATATAGGCCAGGCTTCAGTGGGTATTACTCACTGGCTAAACAAGTCCTGCAGACAGCCAGCCCTACTTTAATGCCCTGCTCCTTCACTTTGAAGTATACATTTTGTTTTAGGGAGACGTCAGGTTAAGACACAACCCAAAGTAAGTAACTCACTCACATGTTTTCTGATGATTTCCTTCTCGGTTATGACTTGTAAAAAAGGAATTTAGCCTCATTTGAACATATCAATCATAAAAAAAAAAATTAAAAAAAAGTAATTGTCATTTTCACAAAAAGCATAAACATAAGAATGTCTTAACATTTAGTAAAATCTTTTTTAGTGCAGCAGAATCCTCAACGAGGTGCATTGGGAACTTTAGACAGATTACCTCTGTCTGGGACTTGAGAGAGCAATGGGTTGTGTAACTCTACTGTATATACAGTATGTAGAATATAACTATAGGTCCTGCTTCACGTCTCCTAACACATGGTAAAACCTTCAGGTTTTTCCCTCCTAAATGTTTATTTGTGATCAAAGAATAATAAATAATGACAGTGATTTACTTGAAACTAAAGATAAAAGAGTGCTAATAGAGTTTGCAGCTGCACCACTGTGGGCATGTGCACGCTCATCTGATTTTTAAATGATGCAGTGACAGTTTATTTCTTTCATCTTTCAGCCAAGTTTCCTTGGTCTAGGTGATGCTATCCCCCCAGTTAAACACCATCGCTCAGGATGAGTAATTTAATGCTGAATGTTATGGTGCTCCTGGGAGGCGTTGTGTGAAACCAGTAAATCACGAGCAATGACCTTTGTTGGACTGGTGGTCTAGTTGTGAATGTGAGTGGGATGTCGGTGCCCCTAAAAGACCAACTGCCCATCCTAATGGGATTATAATAAGGAAATATGGTTTGGCTCAATGCACTTGATGGTGCCGATACAGTAGTGTGCAGCTACAAAAATACATACAAACTACAGGTCAGAACATTTTTTCTTGACTCTGATTTATATCTCAAACCAAATTTAAAGAGAGCTGTCCAGTCATGTTTTCCCTTTAAAGAGATCTCCATAATGAAATTGCTGTTCTAGAACTGTAAATTCAGGATTTCATTTCTTCTTGATTTGACCACTTTACCTCCCGGCCAGGTTACGAACACATACCAGGCTCTCGACAGGCACCAGCAGAAGAAAGCATATTCGGTTGTCTAGGTTTGAGTTATTAATCATATAGCAGTGTATTGTTTATTTATAGATACCTTGAACTTACTTCTTCATATATACTAATGATCATTTCTCTCATTCCCCAAAATACAGACTGAGCTCTATATATTACTTTTTATATATATCATTTGAAACCTGTTTTTGTAAACATGCCTTTTGTTTACTTTTTTATTTTTACACATCATTTTTTTGATTGTTATATTTTGTAGTATACTCTGGGTCACTTTGAGGAGCATTTTTTTGTTTCTATTGCTTTTCTTTTCCCATTTAAAAAAAAAAATGTCTGGACGGTAAAAAAGTTTATTGGTTGTTAATAATGTATTAATTCATTTTTAATTGAAATATGATCGTTTGTCCACATTCATCACTGGAGTTGGATCGTCTTTGGAAGTGACAACGTTTCTTGCTGTATCCATATGGCTTCATGACCTTCACCATTATGTTTGAAAGGATTTAAACCCATAATATTTACAGTGCACATCACTTCCTGTGTTTTCTCTTTTCATAACACTTGTCTGCTCCTTCCCAGATGTCCGGATGGATACTTCGGCCCACGATGCTTACAGACTGAACCACTGCGGTTGTACATGCCCAATCCTTTCAAAAGTATGTCCACTTGATATGAGCAGCTGAGAACAGAGACACAGTTGTCACTGGATTACCTCTGTGGACTCCTGCTGCACCCCCCCAGTTCTCGTACTCTTTCTCCTCCTCTTTCTCCTTCTCAGGTCAACACGCATTGAGCTGTGCACTACACCATGTACACGGTGGTGTCATCCATGGGAACACTCTGCTTCTGCTGTCTGTAGTGGTGCTGTTGTTCTAATTCTCTCTCTCTCTCTCCCTCCCTCCCTCCCTCCTTCCCTCCCTCTTCACTTTTTCTTACGCATACTCTTCTTTTCACTCCACCCTTGCCTTCCCTCTCTTTCTGTTTTCTCTCTCTTTCTCACTCACCCACCACCCTCCTCCCTCTCTTTTTGTGGCTTTGTTTCTTTCCATCAGGTGTCCAAATGACTTTACTGGTGATCGCTGTCAAACCTACGTTATGGCCAGTTTCTACCGTATGTCAATTACCTCTTCTGTCACTCTGTCAGACTGTCTTTGTGCCATGCGTGCATGCTGGGTGTAGAGAGATTGTATTCATTTCCTGTTATTACCTAATAGTGTAGTAGCGTCTGTGACTTTCCAATGACTCATTCACAAGTTGGCATAGTTTCGTACAGTCTGTTATTGTGTTTGGTCTGCATGTGATATTGTGTGCCCTTTAACTCGCAGTGTGTTGCATGCACACTCTCAGAATACGAGCTGATGGTTAGTTTGATGGCAACAAGTAGGCGGCTGAATTTAGGTGCTCTGTCTGTGGAAGTTGATTGGCACAAAGTCAGCTGCATGTAACAACACAGTCAAATGGCAAAACACTAAAACCCTAGCTGTATCTTACCTTAACTAATGATGCTTGTTCATGCAAACACAAGCATGTCCAATCCTATTGGAGCTGATAAAGAGATGGGTCTGAACAATTAGCATTAAGTAATAGGCATGTCAAATGACTGAATGACTGAAGTGGTGCACTGATAAATAACTGTTTGTTGGGGGCCAACAATATAAGTCATGTAGGATTTCTCCATAAATATAGTAGTGTGAAAATGTGATGCCTTTTAATGGGCATCTATGACGATGTAGGTCCTACAATAGCCAGCATGACAAAATTCCACTCATTCTTGATTGATATGAGTTTATCTTAAACATCAAAGTGAAAAAAAATCATCATGTTGGTGTTCTTGCTCAGTGGTTCAGTTTATATAAGTAGAATATACATGCACAAACATGCACACAGACATGTTTTGTTCACTTTCTAATCAGCCGCATAACTTCCTTAAAGACCTCAGTTGCATAAACACCAGCGAATTCTGCAAATTGCGTTTGGTGCTAACTTTGCTTCAGAAGTACAGCAACAAAATGGTGCTCTCACAGCAGATGACCTCAGCAACAAGTTCATGTGCTGCAATAGAGTGCCGTGTCAAAAAGAGTTTTGCCTGGGGTAAGAGAAGCCAACCCTGCACCCGTCCACACGGCAACTTCAGACAACACATCCATCAACTGTACAATTATACAATGATTAGATGAAGCTTTGTGGAGAACTACGGCTTGTTGATCTTCCCATCCACTATTACCTGTTAGCTGATTATATCTCAGGTAGCTCGGACTCTCTGAAGGAAGCATATACAGCACCAGGTTAAAGATACTGTATGGTAATTATATAATTAAATACAAAGCCTACTTACTGCATATTTGTCAGAGTCATGTCTTTGCAAGCACATGTGGGTCCCATTCGATGTAACATTACAGTTGAATAACTAACTGCATCTGCTTTTGGAGTTGCCTGATGTTGCCGACAGAGTCTCATCCCTGTAGTCTGACTTGTAGAGCTCACACATACTGTTTGTTGTATGTTGGCTCAGAGTACAATGCGAAAACCCCCTTCTTAACTGCAAGTCATTTTATCTCACATTAAGTCGTAATGCACTGTGCTGAAAGTACTTGTTTTTTTTGGCAGAGCAGACAGTGCTGTGTGGGAGCGACACAGTTTTCTGCATTCTGTCTAACTTCAGTGCAGCTGTGCGACTGCATCAAGGACATTTATTTCCAGTTCTCATCCAGCCACATGAACACAGAACGGGCTTTGATTACTTAGTTTACATGTGTATGTGTTCAAATCAATAAACGGACTATTTGTAGGCTTAGATGGATTAGATTAGATGAAGTATGTTTTCTTTGGTGTATAATCACCTGAAAATAAGAATCGTTGTTTTTTGTCACTTTAGAATGAGCCATTCCTAACTACATGGAGAGCAGGTCCTCTTCACGTAATCGCCCGCCATGTTTCTACAGTAGCCCAGAACGGACAAACCAAACGCTGGCTCTAGATAGGGCCAATTGCGTTTTCATGTCTTTGCGTCCGCCAAAGTAGTTCTCCTATACGACACACAGGCACACAGGAGAAGTTTCAGTTGGTTGCAATTTGCAAACTAACCAGTCAACACATGCTCACTCCTAACTAGTCAAATATCGACGCTCGGTCAACGGCCCTAAGCTTCAAATTATGATGCTCCACGCACCTACATTCTATTAAAAAGATTTGAAAGAACAGAGTGAAAACCATCAGATCTAATGTAATGTCCTCTGTCCATGATTAAACTATCATCTATCAAGAACGTGCATGTAATGTTGTATTTTAGGCATCACCGCTTATATTAAAGGTTGTAATTTGAAATAGAAAAGCCTCCACTCCAGTCCAAGTGTATGATGTAATATCATCTCAATATCAATAAATTGCTCCCGTAGCTGTGCCTACGGTGTAGAAATGTGATAGAATCTGAATTAATTTTGGGCGACTGTGGCTAAGTGGATAGTAGGGCCGTCTTTCAATCAGAGGGTCGGCGGTTCACTCCCCGGCTCCGGCTCTTCTAGTCACATGCGATGTGTCCTCGAGCAAGACACTAAACCCCAAAAAAAAATTGCTCCCGTAGTTGTGCCTACAGTGTAGAAATGTGATAGACTCTGAATTGTAAGTAGCTTTGGATAAAAGCATCTGCTAAATGACTGTAATGTAATCTCATTGGTTCAAAAATACACTTCCACGTTAGAAATCAGGTTTCTGAAAGCCACATTCAGACGTGATAGCTGTAGGCTTTAAAGTGAGCTTTACTTTTTGGAAAACTACAGTCGTAAATGGCCTCTTACATACTTCACATTTTGTACTCGGTTAAGGAGAATAAATCACATATTCTCTCAAAGAGCAGGCACATATGCACACACATCCATGTACTTAAAGACCCACCTCCTGGAGGGGCGCCTCCCATCCCCAGGAGATACCAAAGAGAAGGAGGATGGCTTCTGCTCCTCAGCCATAAGGGCTTGGCTTTACAAGAGCATGTTGTCACAAGAACAGCTGGGACTTACTTCAACTCAAGCAAAGAGAGTGAGCTGCCAGAGATATGGACTCAGCTGGTTGGTGTAGCCTCCCTTTGGTCTCACTCTGCCACATGATGTAAAGTCTATCTATAATGCTTCTTATTCAGGGTGATTATACCGATACTGTACAAATACACTCCTTTTAACTTGCCTGTTCATGTGATGGGTGTGTTCAGGAACTGACAGTGTAGCGTTTCTAGAAAGCGGAAAACTGAAACCACAGGTAATCTCAGCAGATGACGCATATTTTCCCCATACATAATGATTGTGGCTTTGCGCCCAACGTCTCCTATTCCCATTAGGAGATTTACTTTAGTTATGTGATGAAATAGCACTTTTAAAACGTGAAACCTCATTAAAAAATCACTTGCAAAATAAAGTGAAATAAGGAGAAAGAAACAATACCAAGGGCCTGAGTTGAGACATACAGTAGATAGAAACTGCTCACAAGAGGAACATCCAGAGCCAAACTCAAGAAATGTAGTTATTATTTATATTATATTCATAATTTAAATTTGAGTAGTGTAGCCATGTAGTTTCGTGTAGTGTGGTTTGAAGTGTGTGTTGCATGCTGTGAGTGTGTTCTCGTCTTTACTGACCACTGACAAGTGTTTGTTGTCTCAGTTGCCGTAATGCCTATTTTTGTTTGCTCCACTTTATGTTAGAAGGTGCCACTCTCTCTTAACCTGGTCTTTTGTTTCTTTTTGTTTTTCTTCCAACTGTCAACCCTCTGCAATGGCAGAGCATCTTGGGATTGAATTTATGGGTATGGAACAATCCGTTTTTCCTCTCAGGCCTAGCATAGCTACTAAATAGATGTCCTTCGTTTTGACTTGCTCCGGTTCCGTCTGTGGTGTGAACTGTTAATCATATCGTCACTCGATTAACCAATCAATCTCTCAGCCGATCGTACCATAACTCATTATAATGACAAACCCTCAGCCGATGCAACTGATCCTCATCAATCATTATTAACATGGATGTTATCACCTGCACCTCTCATACATGTGCAATGGAAAAGTAGAACTATTAACAGAGTTTCCCTCTCACTCACTGTAGAATACTTTCCTTTTTGGACTGATTTTTGGTTTCTCATTCCATCTGTAACAAACATTATGTATCATGTTTGTAGCTACCTGATGTCTTTTCTCAATCTTCAACTCTATCCGATCCTTTTAGTCTCATGCCTTGTAGTCTTTTCCTTTTGATATGCCATCTCTTTTCTTTTTGTTTATGTGTGATTTCATTTCTTGCATCACCCCGTCATTAGCATAGCAAAATGTAACTTTGAATTGTGAAATATAATACCTATGTTCCTGGCTAGAATTAGCCTTCAAGGAGTAGATGCTGTGATGTGAGCATGCAATGCTATATTTAGAACCTAAACTCATGTTGTCTTCTATCTGCCGCTATTTCCATCCTCCTTCATTGTTAGCTCTTGTTTCCTGCTACCTTTTCCAGAAAAGTGCTTTAGTGGTTGAGAGTGTAGAATAAATGCTAAAGACGTCATTTCACAGGTCGTGTAATTATACGAGTACATTTTAGTACTGGACCACATTGTGTTGTCATACCAGCAGTAATACCATTTCCGAATATTATTTATTTACTGTGTCAGAAACTTGACACAAAATGGTATGCCGATGATTGAAAGAGTTATTCAGTTCATTTTTATGAAATTATTTATCAAGGGGCCACACTACCTCTTTGCTCCATCATTTTCTCCAGGGCCACAAAAGTCTGTCTCAACCTCACACAAGCTCTTCTCTGGTAAAGGAAAAAAAAGCTTCAGTCAAGATTTCTCTAATTTCATATTTAATATTTCATTAAAAAATCACTTGCATCATAAACTGCTGTAATATAAGATCTAATTACTGTGCTTACTGAATGCCTGAGCAGATGAAGACTTCTATAAGTAAATGAGAATCATGTCAATAATTGCACATTTCTATATCCCGTGTGCATTTTGGTGCTATACTGCACAGTTTGCAGGTTCTACTGGTCATCTGTTAGGGGCCCAAACTTTTATAGTATATAATTTGAAATGACTTCATAGTATACAGTTGCTTAATAGATTAGTCTAACTCTTGCTGAGCCCCTGCCCTCAGCCACACCGCCTTACTGCGACGCAGTCCGCAACAGTTTCTGTTGCATTTGTGATTATTAGCGAGGAAAGGTTAGACTGTGTAGAGAGTTGTCAGAGAAGGGACGATGAAGCTTCATACTGCTCCGCATTATTAAAAGAAAAGATGTAGATTTACAAACAAAAAAAGTGGGAACCTGCACCTTTAAGAAACTAATGTTTTTTTCCCCTGTTATTTCTCTCACTGTGTGCATGTAATGTGTGTGTGTGTGTGTGTGTGTGTGTGTGTGTTTGTGTGTGTGCGTCTGTGCATTTGTGGGTGTGATGTTGACAGAGGCAGAGGAACTCTACCAGAAAAGAGTCCTGACAATCACGGGTATTTGTGTGGCTCTGTTGGTGGTGGGCATCGTGTGTGTGGTTGCCTACTGTAAAACCAAGTAAGTCCTGCTGATAAATGGATCAGCTCTTGTCGCATTTCCTTTCAGATTTCTATCATCACCTGCATTTTATTAGGAAAAAACTGTATACTCAAGCTGCTGCCGCACTGTTTGCAGTGCCTGTAATACGCAGCGTAGGTGGGAATAATAGATTAGTGTGTTTACTGTTTTAAAATGTATCCTTTTGATATAGTTAGATGTAGCTTTTAATAGTTATTCTAGTTGTTACTTCAAGTAAAAAAAACACCATGTTAAATCAATACTTAAGGCATCTAAACAAAAAAAACATGAGAGAGAATGACTGAGATTTGCTCAACAGGAAACAAAGAAAGAAGATGCACAATCATCTGCGACAAAACATGTGTCCAGAACATCCCAATCGTAACCTTGCTAACGGACCCAATCACCCAGGACCAGGCCCAGAGGAAATCCCAATGGTAGACGTGAGTTTCTGAAAAGATTCCTAATGTTATTAAAGTAAACGCACACAGATGTACACCAAATGGTTTCATGCTCAGTTATATAATCAAAGCTTTTTTTTTTCCACCTTTTTTTTTCCATCTGCCAAATGCATTTTTCCCGACACAGTACATATCAAAGAATGTCCCTGCAACTGAGCGAGTCATACGGCATGCAACGGAGGGCTCGTTCCCTGCCAGCCATACCTCTTCCAGATCTCACAACTCTTCCACACGAGCCCATTCATCAACTCACAGGTAAGCATGCACCATACAGTCCTTGCGTTTGCCCTCGTGCCTACCTCAAATTCAGCACTATCCTTTTATATGAATACACAATCGCACACAAAAGACGCACTTCATTTTTTTTTAAAAGGATGGAAAAAAAAAAAGAATCACACTGGGACATGCTGGGGTGTGTGCGTCTTAACACCTTTCTTTATTTTTCAGACAAGAGGAACGGACATGGAGCCTGGAACATTCTGACAGCATCCTCTCTGACTCGCCGGGAATGATGTCATCATCTGTGGGGACCAGTAAATGCAGCAGTCCTGCGTGCATGGAGGCACGGGCTCGGCGCGCTGCAAACTGTGGCTATTCTGACCCCCATCGGCCGGGCCTGCAGTACGGAGAATCCTTTGACTCGCTGGGAGACTCTCCGCACAGCGACAGGTGGGAAACATGCCGGTGACGTCGATATGGCACTGGGTTTGTCGTGAACATTTTGAGAATCCTCTAGAGGCCAGTTAGGGCACTCTGAGGAACTCAGTGGAAACTGACACACAGCAGATGATGAAATACGCTCAGGTAGGCAAGAGTGAAAGACAGTACTTCTTTCAATGGGAACTCATACAGTTACTAAAACATTATCCCATGGCCAGTTTGCAATTCTGATTGGTTAGCGTTTCCTTTCATTTTCCTGAAGGAACAATGTGACATTTTGGGAAATACACTTATTTTCCATGTTGTCCAGAATTTGTTTTATCTCTGCATCACAGAAAAAGGTCAGTATGAGTTTATTCCCGCTTAGCACAGAGAGTAGAAGCAAGAAGAAGCAGTTAGTTAGCCTGCCAGAAGTGAGGAAATATGTCTTTCAACAACCCTATATCTATCCTGAGGCTATTTCCATACTGAAGCCACAGAGATATCAATCTTCTCATCTGGGCAAGATCGCAAACAAGCACATTTCCCAAAAGGTTGGAATGCTCCTTCAACACAAACTAGAACATGTCAGCTCAAACAGAATTGATTCACTCTAAATAATGTGCTTTCAGGTCTTCAGGCTCTCTCCTTTAGTAGTAGTTAATGACACCCATTGAAAATGGCCCAGTTAGAGGAAGTCTGTCTTTGTTGACCCTGTAATTGAAGACCCTTTGTTTAAGGTTTGAAAAAACATGCTAAAGGTTGCTATACATGTTGCTTTCCTCTCATATAGCTTATAAACAGGCCCTCATTCACCTTTGCTTTAAGTCTTTGGAATCACTATGAAGCCTAATGTCTTCCTTCGTGGAACTTCAATTATGCTCAATATCAGCCAATCCATTTCAGTTGGGTCACCATTAAAAAAGGTACCATTCAATGGAGACTGAACAATAGGCTAGAATAAAAGGTGTCCACAAAGTAGACATCCTTTATGAGATTGCTTTTTAACAAACAGAAAAGTGGTTAACGAGTGGGAAGTTTGAAGTATAAAGCCGCCTTTCCTTCTCACGAATAAAAAGCGGTAATAAAAACCAATCATGGTCAAATGCATAAAACTTCCAGTCATTAAGAAGCATTCACTGGATCAGTGTGCATAGTGACCTCAGATCATCTGCAGCAAAGGTGCAACTGGATGAGCCAACTGGTACCTTAACAAGGTTCCACTAGCTATGCAGTTTTAGGTACACGACATTCAGGCCAGCCAGAGGCACACTTGGGACCAGATGTAGACCTTAAACACCTAACACATTAATTAACCAATGCTGCAAAATACTTACTTGAGTTGTTTAATGTGCATATCAGCACATAGCAGCTTCAGCCTTAACAACTGAGCCAAAATGAAAGTAATGGAGCAAGGAGTTCCACAAACAGAGCCTTGGCCAATGAGTTGTTGTGCAGAGCCAGATTGCATAACCAACATGCCCTTCGAGTCATTCCAGGTAACAAGCGCCTCTTCCATCACGGTGACTGCTTCAGCTGTATCAGCAGTGCTGTGGGAATGTCTCAGGCTTGTGTCTCACACGAGGCAATGAACAGTCAATACAAACATTGTCATCCACAGTCAGTGATATGTGAATTAGGAGTTGCTTTTCAAGCGTGTTGACATTCACGTTCAGTTGGTTATGATTAACCAACTAGTAAGACTGTCAGTCTTGTAAGTAAGTAGTACGTCTGAGATTGGTTTTCTACTCGGAGACACAAGTCGGGCTGATCTGGTTGAAGTTTGGAAACGATGTTTAAGTCAAGCCTGACGTTGCCTTACACATATAAGAATGATCCCAGTCACTTCCACACAGTGAGGCATACATTTTTAATTCAATACTGGTATCGGATTGATACTCTGTATCAGCTGATACGTAAAGCTCCAGTATTGGTACCGGGACTGAAAAAGTTTGATTGGCGCATCTCTAGTTTTTAGAGTTAGAGTCATTAGGGGCTTCTGCATCTTCAAGAAACTCCACATTGACTTCGGCATTCAGCCATGGTGCCCACATGGTCATGGCACATATTTGAACAAAGCTGACAACCACAGTACCAATGAGTGAATTGAAAAATGATACAGAGGATTCAAGAGGTTGCACCACAATATTATTGAATAGCTGACTGCTTATTGTGCAGAGTTACGGAGCTGGTTATGGTATTGAAGGGGATTTGGAATTGTATGGTCTGCATGGTGATCAACCGTTACACTAACTTGCTAAAAAACACACACAGTGGGTAAAATGCATGCTTCAAACTATTCCGAATATAAATAAAAGACCAGTGAAGTAAAGTGTTAATCTGCTTTCCAAGTAAAAGCCAGACTTGAAAGGTGTTATAAAGTAGGACACCGGGTTGGCTAGGTGATCTTGTTGGGCAGGTTGGTCCAGAGCCTAGGGGTGTAGAGGAAAACAGTTCACTCACAAACAATCTTTAGACTTAAAGCAGCCAAAACAGCTGCTCCTCCGCTGACTTAAACTGATTGAGCGGCTCAGATATAAACAGGTTGTCGTCGAAAAACTGCTGCAAATTTTTTAGCATTCAAAACTTTAATCTTTTGTAAAGATAATCTGTTATGTCTAATTCATGTCTGAATTCTGAATCACTTTTGCAAATCATCAGCATCAACCAATATGTTTCATAAGACCCAAGGATATTAACAACAGAGGGGGATCCAGAATAGATCCCTGGGGGATGCCACATTACAGAGATTTCCGTTCTGCAGACAGGAAGAAATCAGCAGTACCGGCACGCATTTTCCCCGAGTCATTTTTTTACCTTTCCGCCTGTGAAAGAACTTCTCAAAAAATAATTTGTATGTGAATGGTTTGGAAAGATTTTAAAAAGTAGTGCCACTATGTCCAGTGTGAAAACTACCTTACAGCAGTTCAACTAAAGGGCAAATCCAAGTTAACTCTATGTATGGAAAATACTTTTTTCCTTTGAATATTTTAGTGCCCATTTACAGCTTGCTAGTAGCTTTGCACTTAAGGTGCAATGTTCATTCTCACTTCTGTTCTTTGCTTTTCCTTGCTTAACTATTTACTCTTCTCTGTATTTCCTGCAGATACGTGTCAGCTCTGACAACACCAGCCCACCTCTCCCCAGTGGATTTCCATTACTCATTGCCCTCGCAGGTGCCTACCTTCCAGATCACATCCCCCAATACCAGCCATGCCATGTCTCTCCCTCCTGCTGTCCACAACCCGTACCCTCTTGAGGATGACCAGCCGCTACTGCGCCGCTACCAGGTGCCCCTACACGATGCCCAGTGCCAGGAGCCCTACCGGCAGCAGCGTCGTACCTATCTAAATGACAGCAGGGGCAGCCTGCCCTCCAGCCCCTACCGGCTGGCTAAAGAAGAAGACTATGAGACCACCCAGGAGTATCTCTCCTCTCGGGAACAACCAAAGAGAAGTGGGTCCAGTGGAACTGGTAGCCGGCGCTGGCGGAGATCCAGACTGAATGGCCATGTGGCCCCACGTGGATATGAGGCATCCCGGGACTATGGCTCTCGAAGCTGCCTAACAGATAGTGAGTCAGAGGAGGACGGGGAGAGCACGCCCTTCCTCAGTATGCAGAACATGAATGCCGAGCCGTCCACCATCTACAGGCCGGTGGACAGTCGGACTTCTCACTCGTCGGGGCGGCACAGTGGGCATGGAAACATGCATACAAGACTTACACACTCACGCTCCAAACCGGACAATACACCCCATTAAAGAGTGAAAATGAACCAACAAAAATCAATATAGTATAGACCTGCATCTATAAGAAATATTTTTATTTTATATAACTGACAGATATTCTAAACAAATGAAATATTTATTTTCATTTTAGCAAACGTTGTCTACTAGTTAACAGCAAAGACTTTTTTATAGGGAAAACTCTATTTATATGTACATTTTGATTTACAGCATAAAAAGATGTGCCAGTTTTTTCACAACGTAAAAAAATAGAGTAATATTGTGGTGCCTTTTGCTGTATGCCGATGCCAGAGGGCCAGTGGAGGTTTTTGTAGCCTTTCTTATATGGACGCCTCATTTTTTATACACGTTTATGTTTTTTTCCTCTCTGGTTTCCTGTTTTACTTTCTTTCCAAGTTGCATTCTTTGAGGAGTCTAGCCCAACTGGAACATAACCCCTTCCATGTCACGCAATATAAACCACTTCAACATAAAGTGTATGTTTACATTAATATGATTTGCCTGTAGGGTTTATGATTTGGGATCTGATAGATACAATGTAGATCCTTTTTGCCCTCTGACTAATGTCTACAGAGAGAAAAGGAGAGAGAGAGAGAGAGAGAGAGAGAGAGAGAGAGAGAGAGAGAGAGCTTGTATGGTTGTGTATGTGTGTGTAAATGCCAGTGTGTGTGTGTGTGTGTGTGTGTGTGTGTGTGTGTGTGTGTAGGTGTGAAAGCACATGTCAGTTTGCTTGCATGTATTTGTGATCGTTAGATGAATTTCATTGTTTGTTGTGGTGACATCAAGCGTGTGGGTCTACTGGTGTCTCACCAAAGCTGACAGAAGAGTGTGGCAGATGTTTGCTGAATAGTGCTTTATCAGAACAGTGACCCCCAGTGTAGGTGGACAGATAAGGCTGCTGTATGGTTGTGTGTTACGCAGCTCATTGCTTGATGTGTTTAAAGCTGTTTTGCCCGTTCCCCAGCCTAGTTAAGTCCCCTTTTATTTCCCAGCAGGTTTTCCCTCATGTTAGTCAGTTATGAGGCCAACAAACACTGAGCCGCCTGGCACAGGGTGACGCCTGCCATCAGAGGTGATGGCAAAACAAAAAGATTGCATCTGTTTCCACTCAACTCAGCCCCTAGTCCCATGCCTCGTCATCCTTCTGTGTCCATTCTGTTTTTGTGGCTTGTGCTAAAGGCCACACAGTGTCTCAGGATTACCACACGCCCCCCCCCCCCCAATCCCCCCCCCCCCCCACCCTCCTCTCTCTCTACCCCCTCCACCTTAAACCCTGTTCACCCTCCTCCTCAACTTAAGGTCTACCCAAGACTACGGTTCTCAGTTAAGAAACAGCCTACATGTTAACATACAGCCTACCAGTTCCCCGAACATTCCCATACAGAGAGCAGGAAAGCCAAGTGGAAGGAGCTCAGTGGAGAACAGCGCAGAACATACTAGACAATATAAACGAAATAGCTGTGAAACTTTGGAGGATCATAACAATGCAAAAATATGCAAACTTTCTATTTTGCTGATTGATTACATCATTTTCTAAGAGGTGACTGTAGTGTGTTGTGTGAAAAAAAAAACTATGTGATGCCTATAGTGTAGAATGATATAAATGCATATTTACATTAGTTAGTTTTTAAAGCCATTATGCAGCCATCTTTAAAGTTGTCAGCCTTTCTTGTTCACATACTCACGCCCACTGAACGACTGCGTCCATGAATTGTTTCATCACTTGGTTTAGACCGCTTCACTTTACACGCACACTTCCAAGTAACGTCAAATAGCATCCAGATAGAGTCTCCTCCGATAGTACCGTGTACTGCTCTGTCTTGTTGACAGATCTAGTCATTTCAAATTTATTCCGTAAACGATCATTTGAAAAGTAAACATTTAATTCCCCTGTCCTCCACTGAAGGAAAAGTCAATATTTTAAAGGAAATTCAAAGAATGTCGAATCCATTTGAAGTGAGAGAGAACAGTTTCATCACTGTTGTATGTTTCTACCTTGTTAAACTATGCTGAATTATCAGATTTTTATTGGTTTAAGAACTCTTAAAAAGATAGATCTGCAATTCTAACTGCTATATGGTAAATGCACAGTGGTATTGTTATATAGAAAGGTCTTTGGTCACACCTCACTTGCAGATATTTCATTGAGTTTCTCACCTCTGGGTCTAATTTTGTACGTCTGAAAAATGTAAAAGAAGACAGTGCTCCTCTGGTTTAAATGTGATTCTCCCTTCACTTTGCCAGTCCTCTCACCGAAATGAGATGCTACCAGGCACGTCCTGCCGGTCTCTTCTGTTTGATTTTATGACCCCCCACCCCCTCACCTGACCCCCACCCTCGCTTGAAATGTTTGAACACCTCTCCTCTGCATGTCCTTGTGGTCACGGTTCGATGGGTGCATGGTAAAAAAAAAGCAGCAGACAATTCTTTTCCAGTCAGTGAAAGTGTATTTCATTTAACATTCAGCAATAAAAAAGACCCTTTCCCACATGTCATTCCTGAAATATGCTAGAAAAAAAGAAAAAAATGCGAGATTGTCATAGATTGTAAAATAAAATGAAAAATGAATCCACCTGTTCATATGAGAAAATAAATCTTTATTCATATCATTTTACGATGTAGTTATTTCTCTAGAAAGCTTTGCTCTTCATTTTGATCCATCTTTTATATTGACTTAATCTTTGACTCTTCTGCAATGCATACAATACACAATGTGTCCCAGGAGAACGCTCATAAAATCTGATTTTGACATAAGTTTCATATAGTGATGTGGGGGTCTGAGATGGATTATATCAAACCTGTTTCACATGGTAGTCCTGATCTCTGAAGTCGTAACTCATACAGCGAGCACATAAAAACGAACACATCCAGCATGTCAGACGAGTGTTGTGACAATATGTAACTTTTTAAAAGACAAAAGTTCAAACTCAGAAGAAACACTTCGTTGATTCACTGTCACAGGATATACAGTATTTTCCTGATCAATTAAAAATGATGATTGTTTCTGCAGCATTAATGCGTCTCCTGAGATAAATGCAAACATTTAGAACAATCTCTTGACAACCATTGTTCAGTAAAGACCAAAGTGTATTTGCAAAAAATGGAAGAATGCATATTTGAAGAAAAGAAATCTTGGATGACTAATTGACAATTGGCCAACTGATCGAATAAGAAGCCTTAATATATTGAAACATTTAAGAAAAAGCATCTTCATGATGTAAGAACTATGGCGTAGATTTCATGTTACATTTTCTTAAATATAGATTCTTCATTAATTCTGCATAATTTCAATATGTTGCGCAGTAGCATAGATTCTCCACTAGATGGTGCCGTAACAGCAAGATGTCTAACTCACTCACCAGATGACTTGCCGTTTTGCAGGGGTGAGTTGTCTCTTTAGTGTATCCAGTCATATTTAATAGAAACACACTTTATAGATGATAACAGGGGTGTTCATGGGGATGAGTGGGCAGAGCTGGATGAACATGTACTTCTCCTGGTAATGCAGTTTGGGAGCAAACATGAAAAATCAATAGTTGGCAAAATCGTTCCAGTGTGATATATGGTTAACTACAGTATATTAACTATAGTTAACCACGTTGGTTTACAGTAGCAACTTAACGTCATCCTGTTTGTTTCATTTATTTATTCATTAACAGCATTCAGGGTAAATCTACTGACCACCAAGAGTTTATCGACCGCTACATTTCAAATGTATCAAACTTGATTTTGCATTTCACAATTTAAAATGTTTCTGCCTAAACTGGTATTTCTCTGTTGTGGAGACGATGGGGGACAATCCGGTCCCCAGAATAAGCCCTGTTAAATCCAGACCATTTAAGGTGAGTGAAAACAGATGACTGGATTTGTGAAATTTTGCAAAGTCTGATCCAATGCCATCGTTCTCATAGCACTTATCAAAGAAGAATGACGTTCAAAACAAAAACTCCTTCCTTCTAATATACTTAACTGTGTCTTTCAGAAGTGTTCACTGACCGTGAATGAATACACATGATTCAGTTTGTCCATTAAAAGTCCTTCAGAGATTATCTTTACTCTCTGTGAGACTCAACATATTTTAATTATTTAAAGAGTGGGTGACATTTGGTTGTCATGTGGACATAAAGTGAAAGCGTAAAGTAAAATGAACACAGGAGTAGTACTCTTCTCTGTATGATGGTAATACGTTATCCTCTACATGCTTTCTATGGAAAAACAATGATGTTACATCAGGTAGGTTTATTGATTGATTTATCAGAATCAGGCAGTGATTACAGAGGCAGACCAATTACCCTTTTTCAGCTTTTGTATTTATGTTTGCCATTGGGTGGCGCTGTTTTATTCTGCATTTAGATTTAAGATTTAATTTGGGATCAACAACTGCAAGAACAGAAAGAACACACAGGACATAAATATGATTTTGAAACCCTCTCAGCCACTAAGACATTTATTTCAAAATGTTAGTCTGCCTGGTCACATTTGATAATAATGTAGAACTTCAATCATATTTTCACATCTCTTTTCAGGACAAACTGGGCTATTAGAATATGCATCCTATAGTGATGTCACATAGAGTAAAATTGTTCTATAGAAAAGAGAAGAAAAAAGCATGACGTAGATAGGTTTGCAGTTTTCAAGGAGTATATTTCAAATTGCATCTCTTACACACATGAAAATAAAGTTGTGAACACGGCTGAATATCTATTATCAGAATCATAACTGTACTTTACTGTGTAAAGGGAATGCTGCTGTTAAAAAGCCCCTTATTTGTAAAAAGTGTTTGTAAACCAAATGTTATTGCACTTTTGTTCATATAGCAGTACTTTTAAAATAAAAGTGCGCAATACACTACTTTTGAATTCATTAGTGAATTTTGCGCATTACAATGCGATTAATCGCGATAAATTACAAAAAAAATCATGCGATTAATCAAAAGATTGTAATCGTTGCTGAGCACTAATATATATATATATATATATTATATATATAAACACTGACACTAAAGAGTTGGTCCAAATCCAGAGTCAAAGCTACTGTAAAAGAAATACAAACGTAGGTATGTTTGTTTCACTGTATTGACCTGTCAAAAAATAACATTGCAACTCCAATTGTCCAGCAGTCATACCACACAATAAACGTATTATGCTTATCAAACAGATTCTTAACGTGTCAGCAAAAACATCAGCAGTACAATACAGATGCCCTCAGGCAGCCTGCTTTAGGAGATTGGCCTCGGTGTTTTGCAGGATTATTGTTTCCTTCGGTGGCATTTTGGAGCTTCTCCCAGATCCCCTGTGTTTAAGACAGAAAATGCAAATTCTCTTTCTCTCTCTCTTCCACTTTTTCTTCAGTAAACCATGATGATAGATTTACCGTAAATGGTTGACCTATCCCTCCGGTGTACTGTTTAGCAAAGTTTTGTTTTGATTTTGGAACATGCAGAGATTTAAGTACACGTCCTGTCTACTGGAGCTCGATCTTACCTGTCCTCCACGTCTTGTATTGTGTCAGGAAGGGGTGAGCCAAGTGTTTCCGGAAGAAATATTGCAGCCACTCCACTGAGAATCGGAGCTCCTCCGTAGATTAAACCTGGAAGCCAAGGTATGTGGTCGGCCGTGAGAAGCACCATAGGGGCCACCATGGCTCCTACACGAGCCATCATGGATACCCAGCCCATGCCGTTCTGACTGAGAGAGAGAAAGAAAACAGCCATAACGACACTCTTACTTTAAATCAGTGTTCATGGTGCTGGTGATAAAGTAAAGTTAAAAAAATTAAGTAAAGAAAATCCAATGTTCAAGTGCAGCTACAATTTAATAAATTAAGAATGTCTGATAGGGACAGGGGGTCTTAAGTTACTGTTTAACTGTACTGGATAAAGATGGATCAACGTGGATTGTTTGTTGGTGTCATCTCAGAAAAAGCTGCCTTCTATGGATGTGTGTGTACTATGATGCCTATAGTTTTCAGAGAATAGTATGATGAGCGAAGACACGCCGTCAGCAGTGCTTCTGCCAGGACACATATTCGTCAACAAGAGAAGGCAGCAAAGAATGGCCGGACAAGCTATAATAACAAAGCCAGTGTGCTTGGACAAAAAAAATATTATTGAATGGACGGGTGACAGTTTATCAGGACATGACGGCCCTCTGCTGATAGTAAAGTCCCAATTTGAAGGTAAAATGTATCTACGTGTTACGAATCAAACATTTGTAATGACGTTTTGATTGAGTTTGGAATGATCTGTTTAGCGTTTGACATCATACATCTTTATCTGCCCATCGGACCCTCTGACCTTCTATTTGCTCTTCTGTCTGCATGACCTGCAGTTGAACAAAATACACATCAAACAGCCCTCCTTTGCTGTGGTTTGCAGCGAACTTTTACTTTGGTAAATGTCACTATTTGCTACAAGATACTTGTTGCATCCATGTATGGATGTATTTGTTGCAGCCTAATTGTTTGAACTGTTTTGTCCACATTTGTAATTTGTTCAGTAAAAAACAATCCAGTCAATCCAGTAGAGAAGCTCATTCTAAAATAGAGATATGATTTCCTCAAAAAACAAAATATACTGAACTAAATTGTATTATTATACATAAGCTAAAATCCCTTAAAAACATGAACACGTGAACCACGTATCTTTGCCAAATGAAGAGTTTACCGAATGATGGTTGGGTACAGTTCTCCAGAGTAAAGGTAGCAGCAGTTGAAGGAGGCAGCAAGGCAACCTTTACCCATTACAGCCAGACACGTGCGTGTCATCTGTTTATCTGCACAGGAGTAAAAACATGCATCAGATCACTCTGTTCTTTCTGTAGTATGATATTTAACTGCTATGCCATGTGTTCTAACATACCATAAGGTACCAGCAGGTTGATCAAAATAGTGATTCCAGCAATGATGAGAGCACCACATTGTGATGGTCGCCGTCCAATAATACACATAGTCACAGTTATGATGACTTTAGCAGGGATGTCAACAGCTCCAAAGATTACTTGGATTAAGTAGAAGTCCACCCCAAACTTTTGCAGATCCATAGCAAGACCATAGTATGCAAAGCTGGTTGATAACCTAAATTAGCAAAAAAACAAACAAAAAACAGCAAGCAAGGTGTCATTGCAATTTCATAGAAGGTGCTTAAAAAAAGTCATTGAGTATTTCTTCAACAAGTGCAGGACACGTACCAGACAGCACTGAGGCAGACTGTCATGTTCCTCATTGTGGGGGTGCGGAACAGATCCAGAAGAGAGTAGGAGCCCTTCACACTGGACAACTCTTTCTTCATGGCCTCCTGCAGCAGCTACGCATAAAGAAGGAGAGTTTTCTCTCTTCAAATTGATTTCATACACAATTATGAACACAGATAGATTGTGCAATCACACAAACACACCACGCTCCCTTACATTAATGTTGATTTTGTCTCCCTCTTCATGCCATCCATTAAATTTGGCCACACTTTTAAGGTTCTTGATGGCTTGTTCGGGCTTATTGCTCAGAGCTAACCATCTTGAAGATTCAAGAAACCACCTGTGTGAGACATTTGTTTAGTTTATACGTTAATAGTGCAATAACTATATCTCTGATCACGACACCTTTGCAACTTTTTAACATGAATCAGTAATTCTGGTTGCAACCTTAGGTTTCATTAGTATGTCAGTACTTGGCCTCTCACCATGCGATGAGGAAGAAGACATAGTAGGGCAAAGACACAGCCAGGGTTAACCACCTCCAGTCCCGGATGAAGTAGGCTATGAGGGCCAGGAGCAACTGCCCCACTGTGTAACTGTAACCTGTTATTGTCCCCATCACAGTTCGCACACGAGTGGGGATCCACTCCACAACTTGAAATTAAAGAATCACAGAACAAGAGATATTTGAAAGAATTTAGTACAATTAGTACTCTATCATCGGCATGCATGTTGCCTGCATCCAGTTAAGTCGTTCTACACGGATTGTGCTCTATCCAGCTAGATATCTTACTGAGCGAGAAGGTGTTGAGCCCCAACCCAGACAGAGCCATGCCACAGCCAAAGCGGAACAGGCAGAAGAGGGAGAAGGAGTTAGAGAAAGCAACACATGTTCCCGACACTGCCATCATCAGGTTGCATATGAGCAGGAGGATGCGTCGACCATATCTGGGGGCCAGGGGGATTTGCAAAGAGTCAGGTTGGACTACATCACATTATATGACTCGAATAAAATACAATTTTCTTTTTAGCAATACTGCATGACAAAGAGGCAAGTTGTCTTATGCAATACTCATTCATGTTTAAAAGTCACATGTATGATGGATTGTGCCAGATTTGCTTCCGTATTTCTATAACTGTAACATCAGTAGGGATAAAATGAATGTTACCTGTCTGACAGACTTCCAAAGACAAGAGCTCCCACAAGCACACCTCCCATGTAGATCGTTTGTCCCATTTGCTTCAAAGAGCGCTGATCACACACCAAATGCCACTGACGAGAATGTAACACAGTTTAACACACGTGACAGAAAAACGTTTACACGTGTGCAAAGAAAAAATATATATGCAGTCCTACTTCAGATATGATCGTGGAGCTCATCTCAGCCTTGTTGTAGGACCATCCATCTGTGCATCCCTGCAGGTCAACATCCAAACCATCCTTAGTGTCGCCCGCCTCACCTGAGCTGGAAGTCCCATTCTTAGTCAGGAGGTTCCACTGTGGAGCTACGTAACGCTGGCACCTCTCGGGCTTGCCTTTCTGGTCCAGCGGCACTGTAACCAGCAGTGTTTCCTCTGGGCTCAGCTGGGTCTGAGAGAGGTTTGTGTGTGCGCTGCAGAAGTGAGGAGGCACGGCGGCCACAAAGTTCTGCAGCAGGTTGTGGCTGGCCATCATCAGCACAGGTATGCAGAGAAGGGTCACATGCACGATCTGGAACCGTCCCGTGCCCCCCGCCTGCTCTAGGAGGTCACCAAACGGCATAGTTTTGTGCCACCAGAACTCCACAAGGTGACTTGGTGTTAATGGTACTAGATCCTTTTGTTGGTAGTTTAATTAAGAATTGGATGTGCAAAAAAAAAAGAAGAGTAAGTAGTTCTAGCACCTGGGAAAATATTGAAGAAGACATCAGTTGTCAGAACTAACCAGAGTGTATTTGACTTATGCATTTAAAGGTGTTGCATTAATAATACCAAATTTCATAGACTTACCTGCTGAGTTAATTTTCTCTTGTTAAATAAAATATCTACAAAATCCAATAAAAATGCTGGTTCAAAAAGTGTAGACCTTCATTAAAACAACACACGATTCCAATAAAAGTTTTCCAGAAAGGGGTCCTTAAAAAAAGCCCCAAAATATCAAAAAGATGTAAAAGTGGTCTTGTTGCTGCAGTGTGTTAAAGTAAGTAATCGGCTCTGAAATTCCAACAGCTTTTCCAAACTTTGGATTATAAGGAGTGCAATCTAAACTCTTGAAGTATTAGCAGCTCATTGACTGAACCTTGAGGGAGAATGCCGGGTCCTTGCTGTGCAGGAACAATGTCTGGTATGAAGAGTGGTCACATAACTATGGTCTGCTCTCTCCCCTCTTTGCACTGAGACACACTCCCTCTCCTTCATTGATTACTTAACATGAAGCACAGGGTGATAGAGGATCTCTAATAATCTATCTATCTGTCTGTCTGTCTGTGTGTCTGTGTGTGTGTCTGTGTGTGTGTGTGTGTGTGTGTGTGTGTGCCTGTGCACACCTGTGCATACACAAACACATTTTCACTCGATTTCACAAGTGTTTTTCCTGTCATTTTATTGAAAGTTTTCTGTAATTGTTTCCTTGTTGATTTGTTAATGAATGAGCACATGGATGTGTCTACTGTATTAAATGTAATAAACACTGCAACACCAGGACCCTCTGTCCCCTCTTGTTATAACAGTTTGCTGTCAATAAATGACAGTACAGTCAGCAACATTTCTAGGTGCTCTGATAAATAGTCACGTTATGCTGATGGAGTTCTGACACAAAAGAACTACAGCAATGCACTCTAATAATCTATCTATCTGTCTGTCTGTCTGTCTGTGTGTGTGTGTGTGTGTGTGTGTGTGTGTGTGTGTGTGTGTGCGTGTGTGTGTGTGTGTATTGTGTGAAGCTAGCATTTTTTTCCTGGTTATGTGTCCAGACTATTAGTTGTGAGGAATGTGCGCTTATGTAATGATCAGCATGGCAGAATTAATCTGCAGGTGCACCAAACCAAAACAATAAACTTTCTTCAGCTGCCAAACTCTAATCGGAGAAAGATTTGTCCTTCTAAATTCTTCCTTCAGCGTGTTTTGTAGTTTGAGCCCCAAAAGTATGAGAGACTTTAGAAAAATGAGAAAAGACACAAAGTCGCATATATACTTCCCGGGGGCTCTGGGCTTTTTGTGAAATGTAAACGTCAAAGAAGCAGTGAAGTGGAGGGTGAGGGTTGAAACCATCAGTAGGTTTCAGAGAGTGAAATGTTTGAAGGTTTTACAAAGAAGGAGTGAACAAGGACAATGCTCTGAAACCAGCGGATATTTCTACATTCTGGGTTTGATGATATATAGTATTACCGAAGCAGCCGCAACATTTTGACTTTACAAAGAAGGTCCTGTCCCCTCCATCTCTCTCCTCTCTGTGGGGCACCCAGCACATTGGGGCCCTGAACCTGAGCCCCATGAGTGTTAAGTAGATGTCAAAAGACAGCTGTGAAGGGAAACTCTGGTTTGCTGTCTCCATTACTACATTTTAAATCCCTAAAGGATAAAAACCCCTTTTACAGACTAATCTACAGTGTTGAAATATGCTCTATAAATAATTATCCTATGATTTATTTTACTTCTGCAATAATCTAAAGCTGTTAGTTGTTTGAGTTTGGACTTTAAACTCCTTAAACTCACGTCCTGAGGAGTTATCTTACAATTGATAACACCAGTAAACACTCAGGTAACACTGGAGTCACGTTGACATCAGTGACACATTATGTCCTCTTGTTCGGTTAATAGTTACAAACAGACACATGTGAACACATAAATCTTTGACCTTTCGTCTGTAAAGCCAAGAGAAACATATAAATGTTTCGGGAACAGTGCAGTTAAAAGGAATCTGTCATTTATTGGTCTGTTTTTGCAATCATTTACTTTATTTTGTTTTTATGTTATGAAGCATCGTGTCAGTTCAGACCGAGACTGAGGTCACGCCGCTGATCCTGCAGTACGTACTGTGCTTCTCAGTCATTGGCTCATTAAAAAAAAAAGAACATTTTATATCTTCAAATTGTATTCTTTTATATTGACTGAGTATAGTTGTGTCTAAAACAGTATCCCCTGTGCAGACAGAGACTATTTCACCATAATGAACAAACCTCTGTTCGTGAAACCTTTTGGTGTAGTGTGAAGAGAGCCCGGACCAGTCCTGTAAGAGGTCACACTACAATGTATGAATCACTTTTTGCTTTGTGAAACAGACCTGTATTGAGCCTATGCAAATCCACTACTACAGACTTGCGAGTTGACTTACCAGACCCAACTTTTGCAACGTTGGCAAAATCAATCAGTTACACCAAATACGATGTATGTTGATTATCAAAGTGTGTTGAACAGGGTGTGATGCTCGAAAATACAATTATTACCAAACAATACCCTTGCAAAGCAGTTCATTATCTGCACATTTATTCTACAGTTTATGATACTTAAATAAATTACCTGACAATTTATTTTTTTCCCTGAAATGCTGGAAGAAGTCACCCAGGCTGTCATAGTATTTAAGATAGATTTTATTCAGAATGGGTCTGAGTGGAAATACAAGAGTTTGTATTTTTTCAATAAAAAATATCATCGATAAATTCACAAAGCCCACCACTTTCATCCACTGTAACCTGGTTATTGTGAATCTGCAGGTGTGAAGAATGTAGACTTAGCCAGAGCCAAAAGATTGCGTCAGACACAATGCAGCAATGCAGAAAGCATTTAATGCTAATCCCTTTTGGACGCAGGTTTGTGGGGGCTTTTCCCAGACGCACAGGATCCACCATGTCGGTTCTTAAGGTGTCCGTGTTGCGATACAAGCAGGGAAAGTTGGGGTGTGGTGCCGTCATGTGGACAGATTATAACTTGTCGTCAGGGGCGGGGAGTTTCTCAAGTGTGGGCTCCATGCCCCAGATCTCACGAGCATACTGGGCAATGGTGCGATCACTGGAGAACTTGCCACATCCTGCAATGTTATAGATCACCTTCTTGGTCCATTCCTTGGGGTCCTGAAGTGAGGAGGAAAATGATTGATTAAGTGATCAATCATATAATAATAATATGATCAGTAATTAAAAGGGTTAGTAGCCCCGAGTCCCCTTCCATGGTTATACTGATTATATACTAATTAAAATCCTACGATGAATGCATAACAGACCTTCAGGAACCGTGTGACTTATGTAGCTTTTTAATAAACATACCTTGTAGAGAGCATTGACTTTCTCCTGGCATTTTATATATTCTTCATAATCAGCAAAGACCTTAAATCTGTGCAGAAAAAAAACGCGATTAATTCAGGTATATAGTGCAATGTGAATGCATATGGTGTTAATGTGTGCATGTGTGTATTCTTACGCCTGGTGTGCATGCAAACAGACTGTGAGTTGTTCTCTGTCTTTCTTTTCATGCGCCAGCGTGCAAGTTTATACACGTCCTTATTTGTATGTGCGTACGCGTGTGTGCGCCTCAGGCTGGTAATGTTAGATGTGCCTTTACCTGTCATGATGCATCAGCATGTCGACAATTTCTTTAAACAGGTCAGGCTGCTTTGGGCTAAAGAAGCCTCCAGCAATCTGGTCCATAGCCTGTTTCAGCTCAGGCAGGCGGTTGTAGTACTCTTGAGCGTGATATCTAAGCGGGACCAAAAATAAACAAAACGCACATTCAGGAAAACAGAAGCACAAACTTGTTGCTGTGGTAACCGGTCCATTAATGAAGGCGTAGTAGTCGGTGCCTATACAGAGGTATCAGCAGGTTCCCCAAGGCCACACCTGTTAGTGTGGACAAGATCAGCTTGGGTGGAGAAAAAACACTTGAGTCCGGTGAAAATGAAAACCTCTGTGCAAAGCTTATCAGAGCTCATGATGCTCACTGCATTGATATCAAAAGATCTTCACCGTTGGACTATTTAGGAGGTATTTCACCAAATGGACAGGTAGCGCACTGTGCTCTTACATGCAAAGACATTACATACTGTAGTGGCACAATCAGAAAAGACAGGGATGAACCTGTTTCTTGCCTCTGCTCCCTGTTATGTCCCCGTGTTAGAGGTACACGTGGAGAATGTAGATACAAAGTCCTTACCCTTTCTTGTCAAGTGCATCGACGTCGTCTACCAACATGCCGAAGATGAAAAGGTTGCCGTCGCCGGCCTCCTCGGCCATCTCAACATTTGCTCCGTCCATGGTGCCGATGGTCAGAGCGCCGTTCAACATGAACTTCATGTTGCCGGTGCCAGAGGCCTCAGTGCCAGCTGTGGAAATCTGCTCTGACAGGTCAGACGCGGGGATAACTGAAAGACAGAAGTAGAGGGTTGATGACTCTATTAATAATTTTATGTTTTCTGCTGCTATCAGAAAGTCCTGATTGGGGTCATTTGCAGGGATAGAAAAGAACATGATGACAAGCTTGAGAGCAGATAGCGAGAGGAAAAAAACATGGGAATAGGGCAGGGATGTGGGAATTACCTCTCTCTGCCAGTGTGACTCTGTAGTTCTCCAAAAAGATGACTTTGAGACGATCTCCAACCACAGGATCGTTGTTGACCACCTCACCAATAGCTGTGATCAGGCGGATAATCATCTTGGCAGTGTGGTATCCAGGAGCAGCCTGCATGACAGGAACAGTTGGAGGAAGAGTGTTAGATGAATTTAACCTGAGTTGTGGGTAGTGGGTCCGTTTTTAAAGCCCAGTTGCATACTGTTGAACGGTACAAACCTTTCCTCCAATCATGACAGTTCTTGGAGTCCACTGCTTGTTGGGCTCCTTCTTTATGCCTGGTGGACATATGAAGAGATTACAGGACTGGCACACAATCTGCCCTGAAATCATCTTAAAACTCACAGGATTTGATTTGGAGAAAAAGTGTCGGGCAGCAGATTTTGCATGTGCACTTACGGTTGTAGTAGGTGATGATGTGCAGACAGTTGAGCAGCTGTCTCTTGTATTCGTGGATTCTCTTGACTTGAAGGTCGAACATGGAGTTGGGGTTGATCTTCACCTTGTAGTGCTCCTCCAAGTGAACAGCAAACTTCATCTTGTTTTCCTACTTATCAAAACATTGACTTCATTATATAAAGGACAACAAGTTCAAGATTCTGAATGCTATCAGATACAACAGAAAAACACACAACAACATTGAAAAAGAAAACAACATTGTGTGTCAAAGAAGACTCCTTGACTCGCATATATGCTGACTACTTGTGCAGACTGCAGTTAAAGCTGTTCATGACGGCTGTGACATCGATCACAGAGCTCTGCAGGTTGACTCTGCTGCCTGATAGAAG